TTTCTATGGATTTTGGCTTTCTTACCTCTTGAAAGTATTTCCAGTGCCTACTTTCTTTGTCTCTCTTCTCTTCACTTTCATAAAAGGCAGCTTTTCCCTTCTGACTTTGAAATTTCCTGTATAAACAACATGCTACCTCTTGTACCTGAGCCCATTTAAGGGAACATAACAAGAAGCCTGGGGACTTCCTGAAAGCCCTCTGGTCCACCAGCTGAGTTGAAGGATTTGACTATGATTGTTTTATATGAATGATCCTTATTACTTTAATTATTTCATTTAAGGTCATCCTTAAGATTAGTGGAGTTTAAAAGAGATATCTGTAGCTGAGTGAGACAAGGTCAGTGCAAATTTTATACATGTGTGTTCATATGTTTAGAGAAATATGTGAAAGCATGTGATTTTCAAACTTCTTTATACTCTATTTTTTACTGTGGTAAAATATACGTAACACAAAATTTACCACTTTAACCAGTTTATGCACACAGTTCAGTGGCACTAGGTACATTCACAGTGTTGTGTAGCCATCACCATTGCCCATCTCCAGAAGTTCATTATTCTAAACTGAAGCTCTGTACCCATGAAACAATAAATCCCTGTCCCTGCTTTATACTTTGAGTGTGATTTTTATAATAAAGGCTTATATTTTGAAAAACAGAACACCTTGTTCCTTAAATAACGTTTGCTCATTATGCTGTGTTTCCAAATTATTTTTTTCTGTGAAGTCTCTCCCCACACCCCCTCCGGCCTTGAAAAGCTCATCACAGTGTCTTAGTTGAAGCAAGTCAGCCAGATGAGACACAGTTGAAATGCTAGTTTTATGAGGTTTCCAGGTACTTCTCCATAAAGCTTCTGAGAAAGCTATTAAGAATGTACCTAGAGTTACTTTCATTGATCTTTACTCAATTAGTGTCTAGGTTGTTGATCGCAGGTCATGTCTGCTGCATGGACTATATCCTCGCATTACTCTGTTGTCTTTTCACTTCTTTTTTGGCCACGTGGCACGTGGGATCTTAGTTCCCCAACCAGGGATCGAGCCTGTGCCCCCTGCAATGGAAGCGCAGAGTCTTAACCACTGGATCAGTGGTTAAGTCCCTCTTTTCACTTTCTTATACTTGGTTCAGTACCATTTTATAAGGTCCACTGTTTGCTCTGCTGTGTACCAGGTACCATGGGAAATATAAAAGTCGAAAATGTGATTACCACTTGGTACAATAATGCAGTTACTTGGGGAAAAATGCAATAGAAGGAGGACATTCATTTAGAGCTGGCTACCAAAAACACGGTGATTTCCAGCCTAAAATTAATATGCCACTTACGAACATACAACATGAACATTAATATGTTCCGATATGAAGACAGAACTGAATTCTGAAATATTAGCGAACTAACGATAATAGCAGTGTTAACGGTCTGAGCATTAACCACGTGTCAGACACCACACTAGGCACTTTACTCATGAAACTTCACAATTGGTTAGTGTTATTATCCCCATTTTACAGTGGAAAAGGCTGACACACAAAGAGCTTAAGGGCATGGTACTAAGAAGTGATGAAATGGGGATTCCAACCCAGATCTGACTCCAGGGACCAAGCTTATGTCTGTCACTGTTGTTAGGCCAACCATTGGTACACCATTTCATCATATGGGATGTCTGGTTTGGAAAGAAAAGAGAATTGATTTTGCACTTTATATTTTATTTTTCATTGTAGTGAAAAAGAAAAGGGAGCAATTTATTAAAAGAGCATCCAAAAAGATGACATAAGGTTTTTTTATAATATAATCCTTGGTCTCACCTGCCAAGTCCCTCATTAGTCTCCATGCCAAGTTTCTTTTTTTAAAACTGTCTTCCTAGGCTGTCTCTAGATCCCTTCATGTATACCTTTCCTGTGGAAATCACCATGCAAAGCTCAGTGGTTGGCCAGAGGCCCATTTCCGCCCTCCTTGTTCAAGAGGATATTCAGTGATGCCTGAAGAGCATGCCTGATTGTATGGTAAAATATGGTGGAGTTTTCATGTCTTAAAAGTGTATTAAAGGGAGATTCTATCAATCAAGTAATTTAAATTATTATTTAAAAACATTATTGCCCACTCTTTATCAATGGGAAGGAGGAGAGTTACTTCATGGATCCTCAAGAGGGGCTGTTACATCTGGGAAGGCAGTTCTCACAAGTGATACCAGAGGTGTGCTCTTAAGTGGAGCAGTGCAGCTGGCAGGACCTGGCAGCTGGTGACAACTGATTTATCTTTCCCCAGCTAGCTGTTTGCCACCTTTGACGTGTGTATCTCATTCAGTCTTTCAGTCACTCACTCATTCATTTATTTGTTCATGAGTAAGCTCCTTCCTTCAGTGAGGCACACCAAACTGTGTAGTGGGCCTTAAAGATTAATCCACAGAGCCTGCCCTCACAGGGCTTGCTGTGTAGTGAGGGAGACAGACGTGTGAATGGGTGAATCACAGCACTCACGGCCAATGCCCTGGTCGATTGATGGTCAAAGTATGGCTGGAGCACAGAATATAGAGCAGCAACCCCGGCTTGGGGAGTCTAAAAATTAGGAGGTGACATCTGAGCTGTGTCTTAAAGGATGAGTAGGAAGTTTCCAGACGAGTGGTGGAGAGGGGACGTTGTTTCAGGTAGAGATAGCACTTGCAAGGGCACAAACTTCCGGAGCCAGCTAGCTTAGGCCTCCTCAAACAGGTGCAAGTGTCAAAAACGAGAAATCTACTAGGGGCAGAAGGTGCCTGGGTTTCTTGTTTCTATTTTGTACTATAAGTACAAAATCTTTATTTATATTTTTCGAAAGCTTTAAGACACCTTGCGTATCTGGCTAAAACCTTTCTTTGTCTTAATCTATAGACACAAAGATTAATGTTGTCAAAATAGCATGAAAGCTGGTCTTGTAAAAATATTTTATCAACTAAATACGTGGACTAACTGTATAATAATATCCTGGCTCTTTAGCTGTGTGCTGTGTGGTACAAACTATTTTGTTTTTGTCTCTCTTCTTGTGGCTAATACTTATAAAGGCAGCAATGATCTTATCTGACATTCAGAAATATCGATGGAAAAGCCTCTAAACGCTGTAAAGAAAAGTGCTGTTTTTCTTCATTCTTTTCACCGGTTTTGAGAAGCTCCCAAAGATATCCAGTGTTAAGCAATTTGCAGAGAGCTTGTTTTCACTGAATCTGGCTTCTTTCTATTGGCAAATGATAACAGCGAGACTAAAGCACATCCACTTAGTTTTAAATATGCCTCAAGTGGGAAATAATGACTGCCAGGCAGGGGGATGGTTGCTCAAGCAGATGCCACAGTTACGGCACACGAGGATGAGCAAAATTTGAATAATTTTGAGGCTATGGGGTGGGCTGCTCTGCTCCGTGTTTAATTATATTGGCAAATGAAAGATCCTACAGTCCGAAATATCCAAGATCTACCACGAGACATAGATGAGAAGGGAATTAGAACAAACTATGACAGCTATACTGCATTTTTTGAGATTGAAATTGCAGAGCAGTCTCTTCCAGGAAGCCATTAGTAAATCTTGAAGGAAAGGGGCCAAGAACAACGTGAGGGCAGGTGAACTTGGCAGAGCTGGTGAGGAAGGTTGTGAGATTTCCTGCTTCGCCTTGAAGTTCACCCTCCAGCTTCCTCTGGAGAACCGGGAAAACCCTACTTACCAGCTCCCAGGGCTTTTTTTTTTTTTTTTGCGTTACGCGGGCCTCTCACTGTTGTGGCCTCTCCCGTTGCGGACGCACAGGCTCAGCGGCCATGGCTCACGGGCCCAGCCACTCTGCGGCATGTGGGATCTTCCCGGACTGGGGCATGAACCCATGTCCCCTGCATCGGCAGGTGGACTCTCAACCACTGCGCCACCAGGGAAGCCCCCCACCCCCCCGCCAGGGCTTTTTAGAAAGCTTTGATTGTAACAGACATTATATACAGAAAAGATTGTGTCTACCCGGGGACAGCTGACCAGCTCCTCAGCTGGGAGAGGGGCATGATTCACTCACTCAGTGAGGAGTTGGGCCCAGGTGGCAGAGAACTGGGTGTTCTCGGGTTACTGATGGCTACGAGGTGTTGGCCGAGCCCGATGCATGCCTCTGGTTAGTGTGTGGGGATGGGAATATTCGAGTTTGCTAAAACCATTAACCCTCCAGTGACCTACTGGTAGCAAGAAGAGAAATTATGGGTAGGTTTACAGTCTGCTATAGTAAGTGCTTCTAATTAACAAGTAGGAAAAATGAATGAAGGAATAAATGAATGAGTAAATAAATAATGTGGATTATTGACCAAGGTATAGTCATGATTGTCAGGTAAATTTGTTTCTCACTTCTGATGACTTTAATAATAATGACCAGCCACAAACTTAAATGTAACATTTAAGGGCTTATTAACCCAAATTTCCTCCATTAGAAAGAAAAATACAGGAAATTGAAGAGTTGATTTCTTTTTCATACTGCAAGTGACCATTATGAGTAAGGAACTGATCCTAGTGTGTATGCTGGGACCTTAGAGGGGCCTTAGAGAGGCTGTTCACCATTTAGTTAAAGAAATATGGATGATCATAACCTGAGGAGGTAAAAATAATAAATTATCTAATTTATTTTTTGAATGAATAAAAATGCACTTGGTACAAAACTCAAAATGTGTGAAGGCTCAGAGGGTAAAAATGAATTCTTTCTTAGAAGCTTTTCCCTCAACCACTCAGTTCCCTTTCCCCTGTGTTCACCAGTTTGGGGGAGTTTGTGTAAGTGTGTAGGCAGGTAGCATGCTTTATGCATCTTTACACATCACACTTTTTTCACTGAGCAAGAGGTCCTCTACGTTCAGTTCATAAATATCGTGGGACCCCAGCTTATTTCCTTATTTCATTTGCCTGGTAGTTTTTTGCTTATACTTTATTTTCAACATTGCTTAAGCATTTTGTTTTGGGTGCCATCTCTTGCATACTCAAGCGATAATGGTGACATTTCCAGCAATTGCTATAATTTTCCATTTTAGATACAGAGACATCTGTCACTTAGAACATCGCATGAAAAGCTTCCAGGCTAGTTCCTGGGATGGGAAGGCCCCTAGAAGCTGATACATGAACTGTGTGGAATAACGCAATCTCGGTGGATTACAGGTAAAGAGCGATGCTGGGCATGGCCAACTTTGACTTGCAGCCCACTAAACTCCAAAACAACATGGCACCTGGCCTCCTACAGAAACCAAATGGTGGACATGTTGACAGGAATGGTGTTAATCCAGCTCTAACTTGGGTTTGCCAAGCTTAGACTTCTATTTTCAAAATATTTAAGGCAAACACAAATCAGAATTAATTTTGTCAGTTACATTTTTCTTCAGTTTTGAAACCTTTATGGATTTGTATTAATTATCATGAAACCCAGACAAATATTTCATAAGCAGAATTTTTAGGAGGTTTTATGCCCCTTTTTATAAACCTCTGATAACGAAACTAATAACATAGTAGGGGGATAGTAAGGTGTATTTTGCATAGTCCGTGTACTCTCAAACATTATCACCTGACCATAGATGTGATCTTTGCTGCTCCAAGTAACAGAAAGCTCAGCCCATAAAAAGGAATTAATTGGCTCATATAATTGAATAGTCCAATAGTAGACAGAGCTTTAGATGCAGCTTGATCCAGGGCTTATGTCAGAACTAGTATCTTGGGTTGGTTCCATTTTTCAAACCACCTCTTCACTCATATTCTCAAGATGGCTTGAAGGCAGTTCCTGGACTTTCCCTCGCAGAGATGTATCACCAGGAAACACTGTTTCCAGCCCCAGTCCCGGAACAATAGTCTTGGACTTTATTCTGACTTGACACACTAAGTCTTGGACTTTATTCTGACTTGACACACTAAGTCCTTCTTGGGACCATCACTGATTAGCTTAGTTCTGAGGCAATGCCCTGCCCCTATAACCGAAGACTTTCCATGCAGTGTATGCGCTGGGTCAGGGAGAGGTACATATCTGAACATAACTAAGGAGGGGAGGCTGGGAAGAAATGAGCAAATATCTCTACAGTCCCCATGCCTCTAACGGGAGGAAAACCAGCAGGTCCTGCCTTTTGGCACCCCTGCCACAGATACCTCTAGGAGCCTCACAGCTCTCAGGCTTCTCCTGGTTACTTCTTCTTCTTTTTTTTTTTTTTTTTTGCGGTACGCGGGCCTCTCACTGTTGTGGCCTCTCCCGTTGCGGAGCACAGGCTCCGGATGCGCAGGCTCAGCGGCCATGGCTCATGGGCCCAGCCGCTCCGCGGCATGTGGGACCTTCCTGGACTGGGGCACGAACCTACGTCCCCTGCATCGGCAGGCGGACTCTCAACCACTGCGCCACCAGGGAAGCCCTCCTGGTTACTTCTTGATCTAATTTTTTGCTTCCTTAATTCTTGATCTCCTCTCTGCACCTCACCTTGTGTGGCTGTCTGCTTTTCTCCACATTCACCCAAACACAGAACATCACTCTTTTCCCTCAATTTGCTTTAGAGTGTTCTAACAGAGACAATGTATGTAGCAGTCCTTAACTGAAGGTTGGAGTAATGAGAATGACTTAGTAACACATTACAGCAAACAATTTAAATTTGAATATTAGCTCATAAAAATAGCTTTATAGATGTAGTTCATACACCATAAAATTCACCCTTATAAAGTGTACAAGTCAGTGGTTTTTAGTATATGCATGGCGTTGTTCAACCATCACTACTATCTAATTGCATATCGTTTTCATCATCCCAGAAAGAAACCCTGTACCCGCTAGTGTTCCCCTTCATTTCCCCCCCCCCTCCATCGCCTGGCAACCAATAGTCTGCTTTCTGCCTCTATGGATTTGCCTGTTCTGGACATTTTATGCAAATGGAATCATACAACATGTGGCCTTTTGTGTCTGGCTTCCTTCACTTAGCGTAAGGTTTTCAAGATTCATCCATATTGGAGTATTTATCAACCTCATTCCTTTTATGCCAGAATAATATTCCATTGTATGGATATATCGCATCTCGTTTATCCATTCATCTGTTGATGGACACTTATGTATTTCCCACTTTTCGGTTCCTATGAATAATGCTGCTATGAACGTTGGTGATAGTAGCTTGTTTTAGATGTCTTCACCACATCTGCTGTGGGGAATCTCTCACTGGCTCTGTCTTCTCTTTGTACCACAGCCTCCCCCCAGGTTTTGTACCTGTGCGACTGTGATGATAGATCTGCCATCACAGAGATGATGAAGTTGGCAGGGGGAGCAGCCTCTGGAATTATCAGCCAGAGTGGGTGTGAGATGTGTTAAGTGTGGGACGTCTACTAGCCGTCTAAGTGGGGACGTCAAGAAGAGAGTCGGACATAAGGGTCTGGGGCCAGGGAAGGTGTCAGGGCAGGAGTCATCAAGAAATGGAGATACTCAGAGCCATGAGCTTGGATGAGACCACCAAGCAGGGGAGAGTAGATGGTGAAGAAGAGAGGACCGGGTTGAGGCCTGCGTGCTCCATCCTGAAGAGGGCAGGGAGAAGGGAAGGAGCCGGCAGAAGTGACCAAGGGAGTGGTTGGTAAGGGGGGAGGAGCCAGAGGGAGTGTGGGGTCCTGGGAGCCACCGTGTGTCCGGGAGGAAAGGGTGACCAGCCGTGCCAAAACAGAACAGTGCCCGGCACCCAGCAAGGGCCCCAGAATTAGGAGCCTGTTCTGGTTTTTATTAATATCGTAGGTGGGAGGAAGCAGAGAGCAGATGGCTAAAATTCCATGCATCACGACACAGAATGAAGAGCCAGTGTCTAAAATGGATAAATCAAGAAGTGGCGGGAATAACAGTATAAGCATCATTTAAAAAATGGAGGGCGTCCCTGGTGGCGCAGTGGTTGAGAGTCCGCCTGCCGATGCAGGGGACACGGGTTCGTGCCCCGGTCCGGGAGGATCCCACGTGCCGCGGAGCAGCTGGGGCCGTGAGCCATGGCCGCTGCGCCTGCGCGTCCGGAGCCTGTGCTCCGCAGCGGGAGAGGCCACAACGGTGAGAAGCCCGCGTACCGCAAAAAAAAAAAAAAAAATGGAGATAACTGCCTCAAGAAGTTCAAAATTGGTGCCCAGAGGAGAGGGTCACAGGTGGGGAATGGACGAGTGGGGCAGAGGAATTGTAAAAGTACCTTTGGATCTTTAATTTTAAACTATTTTACATACATATTTCTTTGATAGAGAAAATTTAAAGGACGCAAAAAGAGGACTTTTGCACGTGTGCGTGCACACTCACACACACACACACGAAAGGTGACTTCTGAGCGGTGTTTCGTCAGGTGAGCCCTGCTGTGCTGGGGGCCTCCAGCCCTGGTTTGATGACTTCCTACACTCATCCTACAGCTAGGACATTTTACTCTTCCTTCACTAAGCTCTTTTCTGGCTCAGTGAGAGACATGCAGAGCCCCAGAAGGGTAGGAATAACACAGGCTCCGGGGAAGAACCCGGGAAGGAAGTAATTAGAAATCTCTCCTTTCTCCCAGGTGCTGTCTGCTCTGTTGTCTCCATTCTGCTGAGGGTCGGCAGAAAGTGGGGTGATGCCATCTTGCCCCCATCCCTGTCACACTGTCATCTCCCCCAGCGCACCAACCCCCTGCACCACCCAGGCTCACCAAAGACGATGAGGCCTTTCTATTCTGGAAAATGAGAATTCTCAGAAGACCAACAGAAGCGCATGTAGAAAATAACTGAAATTACTGGTTATCAGGAGAGATGATGACCTGAAAGAGAAAGAAGATGTGGGAGGCGAGTGGATAGGAAGAGGGCTAAGATTCTCTACTGACGTGATGAGTAGTTTCTTGCTTATTTCCTGTGGCTTTTGCTCCAAATGAGAGGTTTCAGCTCCCACACGGTGAAGTGTGCATTATAAACCTGGTATTCATCACGGGGGACTTTCAGGGGGGAGGTCCAGAGGTGCCACTGGCATGATGAAGCGAGGTTAGGAATAGTGGGACCCAAACCAGAAAGAAACAGTAAGAAGCAGAAAAAAAACAGAAAGGCAGAAAGGGGACTGTTATGGACTGAATGTTTATATAACCCACTCTCCCCGTGTGATGGTGTTTGCAGGTGGGGCCTTTGGGAGGTGATTAGTCATGAAGGTGGAGCCCTCAGGAACGGATTACTGCCCTTATATGAGGCCAGAGAGCTAGCTTGCCCTGTTTCCACCATGTGAGGACACAAGGAGAAGTCGGCAGTCTGCAACCTGGAAGAAATCACGGGAACCCGACATGCCGGCACCCTGATCTCGGACTTCGGTTTCCAGAACGTGAGAAATAAATGTTTATTGTTTAAGCCACCCAGTCTGTAGCATTTCTTATGGCAGCCCACACTGAGACAGGGACTGAAAGGTAGAAGGTGGGAGAGAGGAAAGCCAAGTACGACGGGGAAAGGGAGATGATTTTTTTTAAAAAAAAAGACGTAATAAAAGAGAGGAGACTGACTGAAGAACTGGGTTTGGGTGTCATTTGGGGACTGATACAATGAGTATTAGTTTCCTGTGGCTGCCATAATAAATTACAAACTCGATGGCTCCAAACAGCAGAAATTTATTCTCTCACAGTTCTGCCATTAGTCCAAAATCAAGATGTTAACAGAGCCATGCTCTCTCCAAAGGTTCTGTGGGGTGGGGATCCTTCCTTGCTTCTTCCAGCTTCTGGTGGCTCCAGGAGTTCCTTGGCTTGTTGCAGCATCACTCCAATCTCTGCCGCCGCCTCCACATGGCCCTCTCCCCCATTTCTCCTCTGTGTCTGTGTGTCTCAGATCCCCCACCAGTCATTGGATTTAGGGCTCACTCCACATCCAGGATGATCTCATCTTGAGATCCTTTACTTAATTACATTTGCAAAAGCTCTATTTCCAAATTAAGTCACATTCACAGGTGATGGGGGAGCGTTAGGTCTTGGAAGTATCTCGTCGGGTGCCGAAGTTCAACCGACTATAGTTACCCTTGTTTTGACTTAAGTGGGAGGGAGGATTTCTCAGGAGTATTGGACAAACTTTAAAGTTCTTTTTTTTGGTTTTATTTGGTAAAGAAGTAAAATGAATGGATCAATAATAAGATATTAAAACTATGGAATAGGACTGAGAAAAAACAGGGCAATTGAGAACCTGAAAGTTAATCCAAACCTATGATAAAAGTTGACGTGTTTTTTCTGTTATCTCATTGGATTTTGTGTGTGATAATACAAATGATATGTAGCAGGCATAGAGCAAGGAAACGAATATGATACTGACATTTCCAGGAGTCCCTGTGCTGAGTGATTTTCTAGTTATATATTTGACTCACATAAATGATTGTTTTACCTGTTCATTGATTTAACAAACTTCGAACCCTAAAGACACATGTCAGGCCCTGTGAGAGGAACCACTAAGAATGTGACTGAACGGTGCCCTTAAAGAGTTCATGGTCTGATAGGAGAGAAGGACCTTCTCACAGGAAAGGAGCCCACAGCAGACAGTCATGGGGATTTGGAGAAAATAGTGCCTCCGGGTGGAGGCATCAAAGAAGGGCTTCCTGGAGGAAGTGGCATTGAAGCTGGACATTGTAGGAGGGAGGACTGAATATGTGGTGATAGGACGAAGGCCATTCTAGGCAAAGGCAAAAACAGATGCATGGGTGAGAGGTTGCACAGCGTGTGTGGGGAAATAATGAGAGGCTCAGCTTGGCTGGACATTAGAGTGTGTGGAAGAAAGTAGTTGAGATTAAGTGTGGAGAGGTTAGGTTGGGGCCGGCTCAGGGAGGGCCTTGAAGGTCACGCAAAGGAGTTTGTTGTGCAGATCCATCGTTCCCAGATTAGGAGGGAACACACAGCCCCAGGAGGGTGGTTTGAGAGTCTCCAGGAGTGGAGGTAGTTGGAAATAGCCCCTCCAAAGGGTGTCATATGTCCACTGAGCCATCTCTCCTACCCAAGGACTGATGCCCTAGCAAAAGGGGACCGTTAAACCTCTGAGCAGGGGGTGATCCGTCTGCATCTCCTTGTAAGACTTACTGGGGTGGGGCAAGACCAGAGGCAGAATCCTGTGGGGACACCACCACCAACACTCTAGCTATGAGGAAATGAGTGCTGACCAAGGGGAATGGTCATGGGAAGAGAAAAGAGGACAGCAACTGGCTCTGAGAACTTCTCTGTGAACAGGGACTGAACTGTCAGGCACCAGGGCCGGATTCGGTGGGAAAGCTTTCCTTGCTGACGTTCACTCCTTATTTAGGTTGAGATAATGTGTACAAGATTCTCTCAGCATCTTATCTTGTAGCATTTTAGCTGGTGAATTGCCGACTCTGACGGTGTGTAGATGGGTGACTGAGATGCTCGTTTGTTGTCTGATGGTGTTCTTAGACTCTTGAGTTGTTTTCTGTTTCACTGGCATTGGGGGAAGGCAGGATGAATGTCCAAATCCTCCTTGTTTCTTTCATCTGGATGATGGAAAGATTTAAATGTTTCACCAGTCCCTTGTTGACACGCCAGCTGTAGTGAGGCCTGCGAGGTGCTGAGGGCAGGAGTGGGAGGGGCGAATGGGATGGGAGAACATGCTGGAAGGGAGACACTGCTGTGGGCTGATGTATTAGCTCAGCTTTCCACAAAGTATTCCCTTCATCCAGCTCAGGTCAAAAAATCTAGGAATCGTTCTTATTTTTCTTTTTTTTTTTTTTAATTGTTGACTTCTGACAGTTGCCTTTTAAAAAATTTTTATTTATTTATTTATTTATTTTTGGCTGTGTTGGGTCTTTGTTTCTGTGCGTGGGCTTTCTCTAGTTGTGGCAAGCGGGGGCCACTCTTCATTGCAGTGCGTGGGCCTCTCACTATCGCAGCCTCTCTTGTTGTGGAGCACGGGCTCCAGACGCGCAGGCTCAGTAGTTGTGGCTCACGGGCCTAGTTGCTCCGTGGCATGTGGGATCTTCCCAGACCAGGGCTCAAACCCGTGTCCCCTGCATTGGCAGGTGGACTCTCAACCACTGCACCACCAGGGAAGCCCTAGGAATCGTTCTTGCCTCCTCTTGTTCTCTCTTCCTCATTCAGTCTGCCAAGTCCTACCTTTAAAACATGGCAGCCAACAAGGAGAACCTTGAGGACATTATGCTAAGTTAAAAAAGACAGTCACGAAGAGGCAAATACTGTGTGATTTCATGTGGATGAGGCATCTAGAGTAGTCAAATCATAGAGACAGAAGGTAGAATGGTGGTTACCAGGAGCTGGGGGGAATAGGGAGTTAGGTGGGTACAGATTTTCAGTTTGGAAAGATGAAAAAATTCTAGAGGAAGATGGTGGTGATGGTTTTCAACATCGTGAATGCGCTTTAGTGCCACTGAACCGCACACTTCAAAGTGGTTAAGATGGTAAATTTGACGTTATGTGTATTTTACCGCATTTTATGTTATGTATATTTTACTTTTTTTAAGAAAGTGCACCTACACATAGATTCCAAGAAGATAGGAAACATGGTCAGCACTGACCACCTCCACGGCTACCAGCCTGGTCCAGGCTGCCTTGATTTCTCATCTGGGCTAGGGCAACAACGTTCTACCTGGTCTCCGCTTCTGCCTTGGCCCCCAACTCTCTATTCCCAACGTGGCAGTCAGAGCGATCTGCATGAAACATCCATCAGATTGCGTCACTCCTCTGTTTAAAGACCTCCGAGTGGCTCCTCACGTTACTTGGAGATGCTGGGCTAGCTCCCTGTGCCCCTCTGCGGTCACTTTTACTGTCCTCCTTTGCTCTGGTTTTGCAGCCACAGTGAGGCTTGACTCCGCTATTCCCTCAATAGGCCAAGCACCTCAGGGCCTTTGCTCCTGCCATCTCCTCTGCCTGAAGTACTCTGCCCCAGATAGCTGCATCCCTGTTCCCTATTTCCTTCAGGTCTCAGCTCAAATTTCACCTTAGCAAGGAGCCTTCCAGGGCTACCCTACAATAGTGCCCCTTACCCCATCCTACACTGTCTGTCCTCCTTGCCCTGGACTTATCAACCCCTGCCATATTTGTTTGTTTACTCATTTATCTCCAGTATGTTACCCCACAAAAATGTAAGTTCCAGGAGGGCAGGTCTTTTTTGGTTTGGTTTGCTGCAGTTTTCCTAACACCCGGAATAGCGCCTTGACTGTCTTAGGTACTCAGTAAATAACTGTTGAATGAATGAGTATGTTGAGACTTCTCACTCCTTAGGCAATGAACCGATCAGGAAAACAGAAACCACTCTAGGTATTTCAAGCAATAAGAGACTTAATACAGGGAATAGAGGGCTTGCAAAATCTCTGGAAGAGTGGAGGTATAAAGGTGAGGGAAAACCATCATGAGCGCTCAGGCCCACCGCTAGCTTATGGAAAATCAGGAAATTTCAGAACCTGCAGGAGCAGTTGCCAGTGTCACATTTGCCTGCAGCACGGAGGCGGGCCTTTACTGGGGAAATGTGTGACGGCAGAGCTCGTGTGTGTGGGTCATGTTTGCCTGTTCCTGACGGGAGAGCAACGAGATTGCTTCCTTCTCCCAAATATCACACAAGCTAACCTGGAATCCTCCTGGTTGCTGTGGTGGAAAATGTAGTCCCCAGGTTTCTAGCCCTTGCTAAGGGGGAATCTACAAGGGTAGAGAATGTGGCTGAAATTCCATCAAAGGCAGAATATGTCCAGCTTCTTTTCTCTTCTTGCTTCCCACCCCCAATTATACTCTTTTAGTGGAAGAATTTCTCCAAGAAAGAGATCATTGAAGCAGACTGAGTGATTTCAAGGACTGAGGTCTATCAGACTTTGTTGTCCCATGTGATAGGAATGTTCTGCCTCAAATTATCAAAAGGTAATGATTATAATCTAAAATTTATGTAGCTTGTAAATCCACTCTATGTCAATAAAAATTAAAAAGAAATTTGTGGAGCTATCTGCATCAAGTACTGTGCTAAGCCTCTCATGTACATCACTTAATTGAGCCCTCATGAGGTAAGCATTATTTTGTTTGTTTTTGTGTTTTTTTTTGCGGTACGCGGGCCTCTCACTGCTGTGGCCTCTCCCGTTGCGG